GAACTTTGTCCATTCTTAAAGCACAGATGATAGATGAAAAGAAACCTAGAATGCGACTAAAAATTTGTATCAATCAACTAATTAACTATGCCTAGATTCCGAATTAGTTGGATCAACTTTGTAAATCCTCAGTATCAATTCTCCTTTAGTCAGGAGATAATGCCTTGGTGGGTGTGCCCAAATGAATTCCGTATCTAGAGGATTCTTCATTTTCACTTTTATGCTAACCATTAACCTACTGCAACTCTTCTCCTTTTTCGGATCTTGGGACTGACTATGCTTTGTGGAGCTCACCTAGTTGGACTGATCCCCATGCCCCCACCCCACCCAAAAAAAAAAGAAAAAAGAGAAGGAGGTGTCTGAGAGGGTCACACAATTTTTGCCTCCACCCTTCAAGCTTTCATACACTATAGTGATTATTCCTTAGGCTTTCTATCCTTTCTCTTAAGCTAAGTGTTGTAATTGTGGAGATTGCTTATTAGGGATAGGTGTACTCTCTGCAGCAGTTAGACGTGGTTGGTACCGGCTGGCGAGGGAGCTAGTGTAAAACAAAAAACAACCCTTAGGTATATACTATATACCAGCATCAGCATAAATGGAGCGGTTGGTCTTCTTTCAGTATTACCGCTGGTGCTAGCCTGATGGAGCTGCTTATAAGTGGGGCTATTGCTTTTCTGCATAATTGGAGCGTCCATAAAGAAGCTGTTGGTTTCTCTTAGTAAAAGTAGGACCAGTAGTAGCTTGTGAAGGGTGTGACCACAAGGTGTCTCTGGCTAGTTTCAATAGATCAAACACAGAATGCTACTTAATAAAAGCAGATGTTTCCCTTTGCAACCAGCACAAGGAACAAAGAGGGACCACTTAACCGGGAGAAGCACCTGATAATTCCTGCAGGAATATGTTGCTGGAGAAGTCTTTTTCTTCAGGGAGCCTGAGGAATAATAGGGTAGTTGAAATTATTCAATGCGGTCAGTTGAAATTTGATTTGATGGCACGAATTTTGCACTCTCTTTATTGTCATATTTGCCTAATGGAATACATAGCATACAACTCCATCTGTCCCAATTTGTTTGGCACCATTTGACTAGATGCGGAGTTTAATAGTTTCTCAATGTCTTTTACTTTTTTGTGCTGGAGCCAGCCTTCAGATCTCTCCTACTTTAGTTTTAGAAGAATTCCCTTATAGGATTAATGTTATTGTAGCCAATTGAAGATGGAAAAGGCTGTACTTCCTATATTTTAAATGGGTTCTTTGTTTTATAATTTTCAGTCATATTTTCCTTATCATGCTAATCATCAAATTATATATATACATTAACATAGATTGCAGGTACTGACAAATTCATCAAAGTAATAGATTTTCTGCGCCGCCAACTTCATAGGGAGACATTGGTACGCCCTTTGTTTTGATTGAAATTCTAAAGTACAGAGGAAAGAATTGCTCTCAAAGTTTTGAAATACTAAAATGCAGATACTGTGCACTAGAGTTCTGATTACTGATATAATCTTTTCTCTCTAGTTTGTGTATGTTAACAGTGCCTTCTCTCCAAATCCAGATGAGTTGGTAATTGACCTGTACAATGTAAGTTTCCTGTACATGTAAGTTTTCATATAATTATTTCAAGATGAATGTTCTTTGCTGATTACACATTTTACCTTCATTTGATAAACACTATACTGGAAGATGGATAGAGTGTGTTTCTTTTTCATTTTATAAAACTGGAAGATGGATAGAGTTCCATTTTTTATCACCAGGCTTTAGTTTTATACAGGTCTTTATAGGCTGATTTCAGGATTAATTTCCTTTGGTGATTGTCATTTTACTTTCATTTGAAATTTTGTTTTCTCCCTCCAGAACACTTATGTGATCCTTTTCTTCTCATAGCTTACAGAAATTTTTGGCTTATAATAATAATGATAATAATAATAATAATAATAATTAATATTATTATTTTATAGACCATTTTGTGAGCTTCAAAAATTCGAACTCACATGACAACATGAATTTTAAAGTATTTTGTGCCGAACATCTTCAACCACCACTCAATTTCTAGGCAGTCAAGGAGCCCGATATTTCATTCTTTTAAATGCACTTGGATGCTGTATGCCTCGAGTTCTTTTTGCTATTGGAAGTCAAACTTATGTTAGCAACTCAACGTCATACATGAACTCTTGATGCTTTTCTGGGCGATCTGTAGAAGATTCTATGTTTCTTTCTGAGTTTTTCCTATTTTTCCTCCCCTCTTTTTCTCTCCCTGTTGGTGTCAAAATCTCTATATTGGTAAAATTGGTTATTCACTGTTTGTTGAGCACCTATCTGAACTTGATTAGCCTGTCAACTCGTGCATTTAGAGGTTATTGTTGATACATTATTTCTATTCTCTTGCATTGCAGAACTTTGGTTTTGATGGGAAGTTGGTGGTTAATTATGCATGCTCCATGGCGTGGGGCTGAGAACTCTTGTTATTCGCACTACATTGTTTCAAAGCTCCATACCTAGTAAATACATTTAGTAGCACAGTCGAACCCTGGCATCAACTATAAGTCAAATTGTTCTTCAGTAGATTGTTCAGTATTGAGTTACGTTTCATAGAATGATGCTTGCCAATTCTTCTTCAGTAATTATTTGATAGAGTATTCTGTGTATACTCGGGCAGGGCTTTTGCTGCTCCTTTTCTTCCGCCATCCCCTGAAGCTTAGAATTGAATGTCTGCCATATTGGTGTGAAAAGTTTAAGAGTTGGTGACACTTAATTTCTGTAAAATTAGCAATCCTCTCTATTCGTTTGTATATAAAATTCTAATTGTTACTAACTTGCATCTCTATTTAGGGGTTCGACTGCCCCTCCACGTTTGCACCGTCCCCAGAAGGGTTTTTACGTGCTACTTTTAAGAAAACAAGCTACAGTTTATGATGGAGAGAATTGTTGAAACAAGGACCATATGTACTTCTGCTGTACTTGCTTATTGAGTTGAATGAACTAAGTATTGTGGTTGTGCGAAAATTAAATGGGGAGAACTTCAGAGAATACAACTTAATAATAGCTTGTGAATTGCTCACTCATTGCTGGATAAAGCTGCCATTTTACACCAATCAAACAAAGCTAAAATAATTAGGCCTATTAAATTTTGAATACCGTTTTAATTTGATATCCTTTGGACTGCAGTGGCTATTGCAATTGCTCTTTCTTCCGAAATTTTCTTGTCAAGTGTACTGCCCCTTAAAAAGTGAAAAGCAAGAAGAAAGTATTACACTATAATGATGAGGCACTAGATGTCATATCTTTCACTGTTGAAGGGCAATTGCTGCAGTCCACAAATTCCTTTTCCAACAGCTTGCCATGCATTTTAGCAACTTGAAGGACATATAATAATAAGTTCTTTTATCTTGGGTTTTCTAGTTGTCATTCTGTCTTCTTTTAGACTTATCCCTTTCTCACTTTCTCTCTCCAACCATGTGCCCTTAGGACCACTTAACTCAAGCTGCAAGCTTCTGTAATGGTAATTCATTGGTAATTAGCATTTTATAATTTTTATTACAGTAACAGTGAAGAAAGGAGTGGAAGCTGGACTCTTTTTCGACAGGTTTTAGTGGAAATCTGCACTAATCAATGATCATTATTTTAACTTGGAATTGGTTTACAAGTATAGCAGTGTTGAGAATAGTCATGAAGGATACTGCAGATGCATCTAAAATGGCATCTAAAATGCCATCATAGCTTATCAAGTTATGAGGAAATCTTTTTAAAAATTTGAAACAAGAACAGATGTGAAGCGACTACTCAACTTACTCTGGTTTAAAGTAGAACCACATTCCTTTTCCTCCTATACCATTTGGATTGTGATCAGAGATATGACCAAACATCATACCGTTACTTGTTTGCCCTAATTTTCTTACTGTATTTGTATTTTTTTCTTTTCGTAGAAGGAAAAATATACATTTATCATTATTGATATTTCCTTTCTTAGAAGCAGAGTGCAGATCTTCCTTATTTAGCTTTTCTTTTTGGGGAGGAAATTGAAGGTTTGTCCTTCTCACTTGGCAGCATGCACAATGTAGCTTTCCGAAATTAGAGACTTCAGTTTGGGAGAGAATTTGCGAGGCACAAGTTCTAGTCGCCTCTTGTGTAACCTCTTTAAGACTGAATTTTGTGAGGTTATTCTCTCAATATTGGTTTACTCTCTTTTATATAGTGAATTGCTTATCTCCATACACAGCATGTTGGTCAATTGGCCAAGAAGTGTGTCTCTGGTATATTTATCCTTTTCCTTTCGCGTTATTGTCATTTAGAGCTTGCTTTATTAGCATCCGCATGACACTCGATTATTTTTATCCTCACACGTATTAAACGGAACAAATATCGTTTTATCAATCCGCCAAGACATGATTTTAATTTAGTATTCAACTCCAGTCAAAAATAGAAACCAAGATATCCCAATATAATGCCTCCACAGATCAACAAATGTATCTTGTTCTATCTGTTTTGTGGACTATTCACCTTTTCAATAGACAACTTTCATGATAGGCCATATCACTCAACTTGTGGTTATCATTTCCTATCTAAAATCAAGTGGCACCTTCCTCTGTAATGTCCAAAATTTTCAGTCACTCGCTCAGGACAGTCCAGTGCACTAAGCTCCCGCTATATGCAGGATTCAAGGAAGGATCGGACCACAAGGGTCTACTGTACGCAGCCTTACTCTGTATTTCTGCAAGAGGTTGTTTCCACGGCTCGAACCCGTGACCTCCTAGTCACATGGCAGCAAGCCAAAGCTCCCGTTCAGTCACTCACTCACTTGACTACCTATATATGCGCGGGGTCCAGGGAAAAGTCGGACCACATGGGTCTATTGTACGCAGTTTTACCCTGCATTTCTGCAAGAGACTATTTCCACGGCTCGAACCCCTGACCTGCTGGTCATATGGCAACAACTTTACCAGTTACGCCAAGTCTCCCATCTAGTAACTCACTCACTTGGCTCGCTATATATACACTATTCCAAGAAGCATTGGTAGCATATTTTAACATACCACTCATTCCTAGCCAGTGAAAATGTTCAAACTTCTCTTTCTTTTTGCTGTCCTGATTTTGAGCAGCAATGCTGCTGTACAAGATTTTTGTGTAGCAGACTTAAAAGGACCAGAATCCCCTGCAGGCTATTCTTGCAAAACTGCTACAAAAGTCACAGTAAACGATTTCGTTTTCTCTGGCCTAAGTGCAGCAGGAAATACATCAAATATAATCAAAGCATCAGTCACACCAGCATTTGCAGCTCAATTCCCTGGCCTAAACGGGCTCGGTCTCTCTGCAGCACGTCTCGACTTAGCCCCTAGTGGTGTAGTCCCATTTCATACTCACCCTGGTGCTTCTGAAGTCTTGCTCGTCGTCCAGGGATCAATTACTGCGGCTTTTGTTTCCTCAGCAAATACTGTTTACTTAAAGACACTAAAGAAAGGTGAACTAATGGTATTTCCACAAGGTTTGTTGCATTTTCAAGTGAATGCAGCTGGTTATACTTCTGTAGCTTATGTGTTCTTTAGTAGCTCCAGTCCTGGCCTTCAAATCACCGATTTCGCATTGTTTGCCAACGATCTTTCTACTAAGTTGGTTGAGGCTACAACATTTCTTGATGAAGCTCAAATCAAGAAACTCAAGGGTGTTCTTGGAGGCACTGGCTAACAATGTGCTAGCATGTACTGTGTTTGTTTCTTTTATTCGGAGTTGTTATTTTTGTTTCTTTGTTTTGGCAATTCTTGGCAACTACGTTGTTATTGTCTTTTGATGATTCTTTCTGTCAATGCCATGTTATTGTGAGCTTAATTACTTCTTTAACTTTTTCACCTGTGGAATTTAACTTGGCACTCTAATTAAGTCATAGGAGTACTATGTATTACATCAGTAGTAGAAAGTGTTGTTCTTTTCTAGTTTCCTTTAGTAAGGATTCTATGCATATTTCATGAATTAATTAAGTTATATGCACCTCACAACATAAAGGGTATATTTATACAATCAAGTAGGGGGTGGCAATTTAAGCCCAAACGCCCCAACCCACCAAAGGTTAGGCTGCTCATTGACCGGTCCATTGTTGAACTCAACCTATCTTGACCCAGCCCAACTGAGCCCATCTAAAGTAGGATTGATTATTTTCATAAAGCACTATCTTTTAGTAGTAGTTAGCCATCTATAGATACCATTGCTATATTACGGATTATAGATACCTTTTCTGTGGTTATGAGATGTATTTGATGTATTTAAGCTATTGTATTCATGAATACAGTAGCAAAAAAAGGCATGAATCAGGGAAGTCCAGCTAATCAGTTGTTGTATTCGAGTGTATTCGACTGTATTCATGGAGTGAAACATGGGATTACAGCTGGACAGATTATTGTATTCGACTGTATTCATGGCGTGAAAGAGGGGATTACACTGTTTTTAAAACGGAAAGTGAATCAATTAACATAATAGACTCCTAATATAACTCAACAAACTCAATTATAACATACAAATTTTGTATTTTCAGTTATAAAAAAGATTCTCAACCGAAAAATACCCCAAAAATATAGCAATCTTCAGAGAAATTATATAATACATCTGAATACATAAATTATACTCCCTCCATTTCAATTTATGTGAACCTATTTTCTTTTTGGTCCGTGCCAAAAAGAATGACCCCTTTCCTTATTTGGAAACAATTTACCTTTATGCAATGATTTATAGCCACACAAAATATATGTGCCTCATTTTACACCACAAGTTCAAAAGTCTTCTCTCTTTTCTTAAACTCCGTGCCCAGTCAAATGGGTTCACATAATGAAACGGAGGGAGTATTAATTAATAAAAATATATGAATACATTCATGGCATATAGCGAGATAGTGAATACAATAAAATACATAGAATATATCGGGATACATTGAAATACAATGAAAAAAAAACAGTGAATACAATGAAATACATGGAATACAACGAGATACATTAAATTAGAATGAAAAAAAAATTCAATGAATACAATGAAATACATGAAAATACATTTAACGGAAAAAGGGCCAAAACTACCCCTAACCTATTCGTTTAAGTTTAGAAGTACCTAAAAATTGCTCTCGCCGTTAAAAATCTGGCCCATTCATGCCCTAAACGTCAACTTTTCGGCCCACTCATACCCTAAAAACTAACAGCCCTATTTTGATTAAGAAAAAAAATTATTATTTATTATGTGTTAATTTCCTATTGGCTTAAATTAAAACCTCACCCCATATCCACTTATTAGCCTACTCCGTCTTAGATTTTCACCCTTCTACACACACGGATCTCCCTCTCCATCTCAGATTTTTCGGCCTTAATTTAATTTTTAAATTAACATTTTTTATCAAATCAATTTTCTGAGTGAAATCAGGTACTCTTTGAAATTAATGCTTCATTGTAAGATTTTATGGTTTAATAAGTTATCTTTTTGCCAACGTTATATTTGTTGTGCTACCATGTAGCTTTTAAGAGTTAATTGAAATCATATGAGCAAATTAGCTTCACAGTTCATCGGTATTTATTTGGTTGGAAAACTGTAGGCGATGATTAAGCCGGGGAAGATGAACAGGGAAAGGGACCAAATAATAAATTAATAAAAAGAAAAATATAAAATTTTAACAAATGACCTAAATAATGATTGGATCATGAGTTGGGTATGGAATCGAGTGGTTGAGGGACTAAAAAGAGTTTAACGGGTTGGAACGACTAAGATGGATCATTATTGGGTTATATATAGATAAGATATGGGTTAGAATTAGATTTTTAATTTTGACCAATACGCAATTGCTACGTCATATATAATAAAATATTTTTTTTGTTTCAGCAATTGTCCGTCTGAAATAAGGGCATGAACGGATCAGATTATTAACGGTGAGGATAATTTTTATAAAATAGGTGGACGAAGGATACTTTTAAACTTAAGTGAATAGGTTAGGGGCAATTTTGGCCCTTTTCCGTACATCGAAATATATTAACAGAAAATCAAGTTGCTCAGCCCCAAACTCCGTCGTATTTGTTCAAGAACAAACCCTAATTTCCGGCGAATCCGCCGTAGCAACGTTTGAAGGTACAACACGCGACACCTTTGAGGGCAAGGAAGTCTTAGAGTTAAAGTATGAAGCATATGTTCCAATAGTGATACGTTGTCTTAAATCCATTTGTTCTTCTGCCCGATCATCATGGGATATACACTCGATTGCAGTTGCCCACTGCTGGGGGACTGTTCCTGTCGGAGAGACTAGTGTATTTGTTGCAATATCGTCTGTCCATCGAGCAGATGCATTGGATGCTTGCAAGTTTCTGATTGACGAGCTTAAAGCATCAATTCTGATATCTCCTTTTAGCCTCTGATTTCTTTTTCTTACGGGTATACATTAAAAAATTTAAGAGAAAGCAACGCAGGAAGTGACCAAGTGCAGTTGACTACAGAACCTGCCCTTTACCGTCGTTGCTAAAGCAAACATAGAATTGAAGAAATTGGGATCAGAGAGAACGTAGGTGATGCGGGTGAGAAGAATTTTGAGATTGAGCATCGTGTTTTCAGGGAATGGGGGAAGAGAATGGCATGTATCAAAGTAGAGAGAGAAAAAAATAGTGTAACTGAATAGCGTAGTTAGTGGCTTAGGGGTAGAAGTTAACCAAAATTAGATATTTTGCTATAAATATTAAAAGGTATCCATAGAATATAATTTTTTTAACATAGTATTTATTTAAAATAAATATGGTGTTAACTTTTGCTATAGGAGGTAAAAACTCCTTGATTTTTAACCCAAATTAATCCATGAGCAACTTTGCTAAAATATCCTTAAAATAATTCTTTTTTATTTGATATATTATATATGACGAGTTTATGGTCAAAATTGTCCCTTATCTTTGGGGTTAGATCAATATTTATCCCTTAAATATGCATATGAGCACATATTGTCCTTTTAAGTTTGCAAAAGTTAAGCAGATATAGTCTACTTAACACAAGTTAACAAACACACCCGAAAACTAACTGTCCTTAATTTCGTTTGTGAATTCAGCAAACTGGGTAAACAATAATTTTCCACCGTGAACTCTTCTTCCCTGTTGCACTCTGCCTCTAATGGGGAGAACCCGTACGAGCTCATGAGACTAGTCACTGGCTTCACCTTGCAAGCCATTTTTGTTGGATTATTTTCAAACTTCCATGGCGGACATAGTCCCCACTAACTGGAATATGATTTGTACAAAACTCTCTGGAGCTCACCACCATCTTAATTGAAAGCTGCTTGTCGCCACCACTTCAATGTATTTCATAAATAATCTTACTAATAAAAAAGATTTGTTGAATTCTAATTAATAATATGCATCTGCAAGCGAAGGCTCCAGCGGAAGGTTTAGACAGCGATGCAGCAGGCAGATAAGGGTTGATCCTCATCTTGGAAAGATATTAACTGCAAAGAATAACGATAATCTCAAGGCTTTGAGGGCCTGATCATGTGGCTATGCTTCTTGAAGCTTGACTCCGCTCCAACTAGGGATAAAAGAGGCGGAGACATCAAAAGTGAACGGGAAAAAAGAATTCACAACCAAGTTAAATAAATTTTTCACAAACGGAAGGACCGTTACTTCCTAGATGTGTTTGTTTACTTCCGTTAAGTCTGTTCAACTTTTTAAATGACAATATATGCTCATGTGTATATGTAAGGGATAAATATAGGCCTAACTCCAAAGATAAGGGACAATTTTGGCTAAAAGCTCTATATATGACCATAACAAAGATAAAAGAAAGTCTTATTTGGTTATTAAACAATTCATAAAAAATTAACACATAGTATAGTTAAAGGGGATTTTTACATTCCTATGTCATATAGTAAACTATATTACCCTCCATGCTTAACTTTTAATATAATTACCTTTTATATACCTAATTATCATTTATGTACATTTTAGGGATTTTAATGGTATTAATTAGTCTCCTAATTTAACTCTACTGTATATTCCCCCTTCCCCCAAGTTTCTCTCTCCAAATCCCATCCCTCACCCACGTATCAAATCACACCCCACGATTTCCTCTTCAATCACCCACTATTTCCTCTTCTAAAATCAGCGAAAATCTGTAACCCCTCCACCATTGACAACCATTGAAAAGCTTTGAACCTTTGAATTCGAATTTGAGTTTTCAAAAGACATTGTTTGTTTGGAGTGGATGTTGTTGCAGAGAATTGAGAATTCTCTCTACGTCTCTCTCTATCTCTCAGTCCCAAATTTCAGTAATATAAAGCAAAGGAAAAGAGAGCAGCAATTCCACCATTGACAGCCATTAAAAAGCTTTGAAGCTTTGAATTCGAATTTGGATTTTCAAAAATCGTTATTTATTAGGATTGGGTGTTGTTGCAAATAATTGAAAATATGGTTTGGAGTTTATATCTCAATTTTGAGGGGTTTTGGTGAAGATTAGACTTGGTTTTGGCTGAATTTCAGATTGAAACTCGAAGAAGAAGAAGAAGACATGACATACATTATATTNGCGGATTGTATCCATTGAGCAAATATAGGTTCAATCAAGATTTGCTTCTCCGGAGTGCCAAAGGCAAGCATGACATCATTATGAACATAAAGTCCCAGGGTATGGAATCCCAGAAAGAGGCTGGCCCAACTTAAATGAGATATGATAGCTTCTTATGCTCTAACATTCTTGCCAATACATTATCTTCATTTTGCTCCGGATTGTAATCTCTAATGAAAAATATAGCTCCATGAGCAAAAGCTCCTGTCATGATGAATCCTGCGATATATTGGTGGTGGGTATATAATGCAGCTTGAGTAGTAAAGTCTTGTGCTATGAATGCATA